AAACGGCACAGTGTGTGTGATTGTGGACATTAATTATTATTATTATTGATTAATATTATTATTATCATTTAGTATTAAATTAAAATTATTAATATTTAATTATTATTATTATTGTCGTGTGAAATGTAATGTAAAATTGTTGATGATATTAAAGTGGAATATCATAAATTTGTAGCAACATGTAATGTAACATGTGCGATAAAAAAATTATAGATAAAACGTAAAATGTAAAATTTGAAATGCTAAAACAGAATATAATAAATTCATAATATATTATGATAACGCATAATGGATTTTAATAATAATATATTGTCCTACTCGGTTAGTAAGTAAATGTTATTTTAAAATAACCGTATTTTAATCTACTTGCGCGTGAAAAAACGATTCTCAGACTTTCTTGTTCGACTCGATTCCGAAAGCAAACATCGTCATTGCGTCAAATTAATTGTAAGAATTCAATACATGTATGAAATGCAATAGTTAATCTTTAAAATTACTATTTTCTTAATGTTTTTCTCGAATCCGAAACTTTCATTTCAAAAGATTATTAATTATCATTATTACTATTGTAAATAGTAAGAATAATATAACGATAATATTATTATAATATTAGGATTGCCTCGCGAGGACGCATTGAAAATCAGACGACGCATCAGCTATTTATTAAAAGCTCGAAAATACCGGAAATTAAATTAAGAGCAATTAGAATTCAGTCGAAACCTGCAAACAAAAATATGAACGTTTTAATGGAATTGCACCGAGCGTCCAATTATTTATGCACGGGAAGAGTAATAATATTCAAAGACAAGAATAAATTAAATGCAACGCGTCACTGTAATCGTAATAGCAACGATATTAATGGAAAGTAGATGCTGAAATGCAGAAGAAGTCTCGTTAATACACGTTACTATAATGATGTTGCAATTAAATAATATATATTAATGTGTATAATTAATATCACTGAATTATAAAATATCTTATAATTAAATTATAATATACTTTATCATTCATCATTGCAAAAAAGAAACGATGATATCAATTTTTATATTTTGTGAAACGATAATACGCAATTATACTGAAGCATTGATTACAAGCGTAAATTAATTATAATATTATATTAAAAATATATATATTATAATTATATTATATTAAAAAAATATATATTATAATTATATTATTATAATATATATTATAATATAAAAATATATAAATTATAATTATTTTAAATATGTATATATTGTTTTAAATATATATATATATATAGTGAAATTATAATATAATATAATATTATTATAATATTTAATTTTTTAATATTAATGTATAGTACGTATTATATTATATTATAATATTTGTAATTTCATTTCATAATTATATTATATAACTATGAATATACGCAGTCCAGTTATTATTATACTCCACTGAAACTAATTAGTAAAAGAACATAGTGTGATCATAGAATAGATCAGTCGACGAATCTGTGATTAAACAATATTGGAAATATTATTTTTTAAATAATTGTACCATATTAATTTCACATGTTGCAGTTTTCTTAATGTACTACAACAATCGAACCCGTGATCGACACGACTGATTTCAGACTATCGTTTGAATCACTTGAAAGATACGTCCTTGTCAAAATTAACATGTATTAATTTCTGTTTGGACAGAAACACGAGTGTATATATAAGTCTATATTATTTTAGTTATCGTTTAAATTATAATCGATTTATATGTAGCTTTGTTCTACCGTTAACAAGTATCTTCATTTATTTATTTATTTATTTATATCGATATTTATATTAATATTTTTTGGACAGTGTTAATATTTATATTTTACAACCGAAATCAATTCAACACAACTGAAAGATTCATGGGTGAAACTTCCAGCAAAACGAAAATTTATTTTTCGTGCAATTTTCTCGCACGTCGAAATAAATGAAAATCCCGAAAAGTCTTAACTTGCAGTGCGACCCAATAGCCATCGAAATATCGAACTCGAGAACTTGTTGAAATTCGACGTTTGTTGCCCCTCCTCTTCCTCTCCCCGAGCCCACCCCTTTTGTCGATTTGATTTCCCGCCAGGCGATGAAACGCAGAATTCAACGCGCAAAAGTGTTCTCCAATCCGGCGATGCGCGGGAAACGACAAGTCAAACGCAATAAAATGTACGGGCCGATTGTATGCAAAGTGGCAGCTGAAGAATATGTAATTGACTGTTACGCTCGTGGTCACACAATCATAATGAATTCTTTTTTTTTTTTTTTTTTTTTTTCTCTCTCTTCATACGCGTTTCCCGGAATTTCCTGCTCCCCATCGTCAAGCTATTGCCCTATTCATTCAACGCGTAACTCGTTACGACGACGCGGCGATGATGTTCCTGGAAAGATAATTCTTGGAACAATCAGCCTGATTCGCCGTGTCGGTATAGGAAAACAGTTTGCGATCTTGTGAGTCACACGTCCCAACGTCACAACAACTTGTTCAATGTCTGCGTGTGGTGCATTCGCTCGTACGTTTCATTTTTAATCACTTCTAATTTTATGGTTGTACAAATTATAGTTTTTTTTTTTTTTTTTTTTTTACTAAAAATCAAGTGTATTTCTCAGGCTCGATAAAATGTACGACACCGACCAAACGAATGACAAGGGGGTGTCGGTCCGCAGGGACCGACGCTCGGCCGAACGAATGGTGGGGTGTCGGTCCCCAGGGACTGACATCGCTCTCGAGCGTGTTAATGACTGATAGACGCGAATATCGCGTATCGCCTTCGGGATATGTACTTCGGTGAACATGACTTTTGCGAAGGATTTGTAACAATAATTTGATAAACATTACAACATTACTTGATATTATAAACTTGTTACTTGACAAACATTACTTGATATTATAAATTTGTTATAAGTATTTATTGTAATATAAATATAAATATTTATGTAATTGAAATATAAATTACTTAATATATAAAGAAATGTATAAATATTATTTAATGCAAATATTTTTTATACTTGTTATAAATATTGTTATTAGACTGCGAATTTTTAGATATTTATGAGAAACTTGTGCCTACAAAATATTGCATGCTATATATGTGAAAATATATAAGATACCTAAAGTGCAGCGTATTTCGCATAATAATTGGAAAAGAAGACGTTTTTCTATCAGATTTCTTTTTCCAAATTTTTCTTCTAACAATGTGAATTTGCATAAAAATCCGCAGTATAGTTATTATCACAGGGATTTAATTTTCAAATGGTGTAAAGATATATAGAAATAAAAGCAAATGTTAAAATACCAGAAATATGAACGAATTAATTATTACTGATGCAAATTAATTACTAACTACATCGAAATTCGATCTACAATAAATTTAATATAGTGAATAAATAAAATAAATTTGACACATGTATGTGTTTCATATTTTATTATATTTTCATATTTTTGTTGTTTTCAATGAAGTATTTAAGGAATCCTCGCTACACTTCGGAGAGAAAGGGTATTTAACTATAAGAGTATTATACATTTTTATTATAAATTTTTAATGCAACATTTATGATTTATTTTTATTTCTATCTATAGAACACGTTAACAATGTTTAAACCTTAAATAAATTTCTTCGATGGAGAAACATCAAATCTGTTCGCAAATTCGTACACTTAGCATAGAAGAAATCTGTAAAGTAAAACAATCCTCAAATCCCCCCCAAAAAAAACTTTTCTCGCCAGAAAATTTCCACTGTTTCCTCTTTCTTTTCCAGAGACTCACACTGTGGCGATGACAGACCCACAGTTAGCAAACAACAACAACAACAGTAGCAGCAACAACAACAGCAACAGCAACAACAATAATAACAACAACAACAACAACAACAACAACAACAACGATGGCGAGCCGAAGTACCTGCACAAGAAGTTCAAGAAGATGGCGACGACCGAGGTTACGCCGCAAGTGGAGCCCAACAAGGATGACACCACCACCGTGGTCAGCAACGGTTCACCAGACGCAGCAGCAAAGAGGAAGGAGTCCACGAAGGAGCCGAGCGAGTCGTCGAAAGATCTGGTCAAGGTGGAGATGCCCGCGGAACCGGCGGACAGCGAACCGACCGAGTCGAGGAAGAGCGGCTACGTGTGCCCTTATTGCAGGCTGTCGTGCGCGAAGCCAAGCGTCCTGCAAAAGCATATCCGGGCGCACACGAACGAGAGGCCGTACCCGTGCGTGCCCTGCGGATTCGCGTTCAAGACCAAGTCCAATCTGTACAAGCACTGCAGATCGCGCGCTCACGCTCTGAAGATGGAGGGTGGTGATGCCAGCAAGGTAATTAATTTCTTTTTTTTTCCTTCTTTCTTGACGACCATGATTAAGTGAGGCGTTTATTCTTGAAAGATGACCCAGGTCCATTTATTTTTAAGTCACTTAAAATATTGATAACGTGGCAGCATAATATTGGTTTCTAAAGATGTATAATTTACCAACCCAATTGGTATGGTATAGTATATAGTAAACTATATATATAGTAATATAACTATATATATAACTATAGTATAATAACTATATATACATAGTTATTATACTATAGTTTATTTCTGAAAGATGACCCAGGTCCATTTATTTTTAAGTCACTTAAAATATTGATAACGTGGCAGCATAATATTGGTTTCTAAAGATGTATAATTTACCAACCCAATTGGTATGGTATAGTATATAGTAAACTATATATATAGTAATATAACTATATATATAACTATAGTATAATAACTATATATATATATATATAGTATATAGTAAACAAAAGTATAGTTTGCTGATAAAATCTCCAAGTTTATGAACAAAATCTCACATCTCCAAGAAGAATGGAGTGATTCTTATTAGATCAGCCTGTATATTATTAGTAAAGAATTCCAAAACGTGATTGAATAATAGTAAACGCAGATATTGAAAGATATAAAATAATACAACATGATACAAAAAGAGATAAAAGTTGAATAATAGCAAATGCACATAAAACAAAGGTATTTCTAGAATGATGTTGAAGAAGAAATAGGAATGAAACTATCTCAGAGTAATTAAAAGTGTATGTTAGTATTATTATACTAGTGTAACGTATAATGCAGTGCACAAATATTATGCAATAAAATGGACATTATTTATAAATGCATTATTAAGAGATTGAAAATCACGAATATTTTGTAAAAATGAATTTGTCATCATATATGTGTGTGTGTTAGATTTCTTAGTTTTCTTTATGCCTCTGTAGAAATATTAAATTAGTAACATTATTATTATGTATAATTATTAGAATATTTATTGTATCATTGATATTAGAATATCATACAAAATTCTTTCAATATTTGGAAAGCTGTTTTCCACAAGCAATCATTCAATAGATAAAGAACGTGAAAACATAAGATTGTTGCATATAAGATTCCAAAAGAGGTTGCAAAAAATCATACAGAATTTAGTAATTAAATGTTTCACTTTTAGTAACTAAGCATCTTATTTTTAGTTACTTGTGTATTTTACTGTTTGATTAATTTTAGTTACTTTTAATACAACTAGGTGTTTTATTTTTAGTCAATTTTTAGTTAGTTACTGTCAATTATTCTATTAAATACCGATATAAAAGTTGAAACTAATCGAACGAAATATAATCGATACTTCATCGATAATTTTATCGTAAAAAAAATCAGATTATGTATCGAAATCTTTTACAATAATGCATTACATTACCACAGTGCGTTAAGAGAGGACTTAAGATGTCATCACTATGAAAAATTTGATGCGGATTCTAACATAATTAAAAATATCACCAAAAAAATAATCAATAAATTAACTAAAATTCTAGTTATAATAATCGTAAGTGTTAAAGTGAAATTTTTGCTATATTTCTTATTACACTATATCGTGTAATATATCATATCATATTTTATTATTAAATTTACAAAAATTATCAATCTCTCGTTAAAATTTTATTTAGAATTTTGGCCATTTCACGAAGCAAAGAAATGAACTTATTACGCAACCTACATATCTGTCATTACCTGGTGAAAGATATATTCTTAGTAATCAGTATGAATTATGACGCATGAAACGTTACGGTGAAATATAAAATAATACATAACTCGTTGATGGCGTCGCGAGTTATCGCGATAAAATATTTCTGTCTACGCGCTTACAAGTTACAATTAAGCCGATGTGCTTCAGAAATCACATCAATCGATTCCACAAATTAAAAAGTTAAATTAAAAGAAATCTGATGGTACTTTTTTTTAAATTTGCTTTTTAATTTTTGATTGCTATCTAACAAAACATTTTTAATTGTTAAAGTTTAAGTATTGATCATCAATGAAACTACTAAATTCACAGTCTACGAGATTATTGAAACTTGAAATTGAAATGTTATGAAATTTGTGAAATATTCTAAAAGTGCTTAGTTACTAAAACTAATTCTGAAAGTTTTAGTTACTAAAAGTAATTAAAAGTAACTATAAATATTCTAAAAGTGCTTAGTTACTAAAAGTAATTAAAAGTAACTATAACTGAACTAAAAGTAACTAACTAAAAATAGGTAACTAAAAGTAACTAAAAGATTACTACAAGATTAGTGAAGCATATAGAATCTAGTAACTAATTAAAAATAGGTAACTAAAAGTAACTAAAAGATTAGTAAAGCATATAGAATCATGAGTTATTTGACAAAACTGAATAGTTAATTATATTTTATTATAAACTTTGAGAAAAATCTCCATACATATTGACATTCAATACATTCAATCCTCGGACAGCGAATAGTTTTATACTATTCGCGCACAAGCTGATCGGATCAAATTTGACCCAGTTCTTACCTGGAAGCAAATTTTTATATTGGATTTTTCCTTTGTTGAATATTTTTACTCTGGTATATAATAATTGAAAATAGTATTTATATATGTGTTATTCTTAAATATTTCTTTTATAATTTCGAATATTAATGAGCAAATTTTTACAGAGATTTTAGATTTTCATCGAACAATCCAATTTCTTTGATCGTTCTAGTATGTAACGATCGAAAAGGAAAGCATAAATTTAAAAATTTTATATTTTTTATTAACTAATTTCATTTCATTTTCTAGTTGAAAATTTTTATTTTAGTCTTTTTCAAGATTTCAGTCAAGTTATCCTGATATATAATAACTCAAGGGAAAAACATGTTTGTACATTATATTTTATTATAAACATATATAAATAAAAACATAATCACCGCCGTCCGAGGATCGATGTAACAATCATGGCTCGTCATTTGTAACGCTTAAGTAATACTTAAAATTCAATTATGTGATTACTTCCGCAGGTATCGGAGGACTCCAACATAAGCCTGTCAGACAGCGCGAGCAATGGTACCGGCACACCTCCGCCACCCCCGTCGTCGACACCCACGACCACCGTAGTCAACGTGAAAACCATCAAAACCGGGAAAATCTACAAGCCAAAATTTCACACGGCCCTGCAGTGTGTGAACAACGACATCGAAACGTCTTCCCTTTCCTCCAGCTCTTCCACCAACAGCTCTTCCTCGGCCACCACCACCACCACGCCAAAGCCAAATCCTGAGCAAGTTCAAGAACACATAGATAAGATCATCACCGACAACCAAGCGATCGTCAAGGCCGTGGATCCACGTCTGCACAAGCTGATCCAGAGGCAGCAGAGCCTCGTGGAAATGAAGCAGCCGGCGGATCAACCTTTGAATCTCTCTTCCGCGGAGGAGTCGTTGAGGAAACGGTGTTACAGCGAGAGTTTCGCGAAGGAGGGCAAAGATTACACGGATGGCCCGGAAGGTTCCATCATCAAGGATCTGCTGTTGAAAAGTCAAAGCTCAAGTCAGGAAGGGACGACCGAGAGCGAAAGTTACTTCTGTCCCTCGTGCAGCATCCCTTACTCGAGCATCGACAACCTCGACGTTCATCGCAGGTACTACTGCAAAGGTACGGCTAGTTCCAGCCCTAGGCGGGAGTATCAGTTAGAGGTGGAGAAGAGAGATTTCGATTCGAAGGATTTCGATTCCAAGTCTTCCGAGTATTACAGTACCTTGCAGCCTCTGCCATCGCCTGGCCCTTTGTTGGGCAACACGAGGCTGGTCGACGCGTACGCACCGCCGGCGAAGAAGCAGAGATCCGAGTCCGTGCCTACGACGTTGCGATCGCTCGAGGAGCTGAGCAAGTATCCACGACCGAACTCCCTGCAGATGTTCGGTGGCGAGGTGAGGATACTGGACAACACCGGTGAGACGAAAACCATGAGAATAGAACCCCGTCAGACGAACTCGCCCACCAGCGAGCAGATCGTGAGTAGCAAGTGCGTCACGTCGGAGACAGCCTCGATAGTGGTGAGGTCAGGTCTCCATTCGGGTGGCACGATGGTGCACAAGCCGCCAGGCACACCCGCCACCACGCCCAGTTCCTCCATATCGCTGCCCAACACGCCGAAAATGCTGGCACCGATCATACCCAACATATCAACGCCGAACATAGCGCCGAGCATGTCGTGCTACAACTATCTCGAGCCGAATCTAAAGCCACTGACCAGTATCACTGCCTACAATCCGTTGACTTTGCCCCAGCCGGGGATCACGAACATCCTGCACGGTGGTAAAGTCATACCATACGTTCCTGGCATGCCTGGGCCGCACACGCTGACGCCAGCCATAGACATATCGACGAGTTTAGGGTCAGGTGAGGCAGGATACAAGGTGATACCAGGCCTGCCCGGGCTTCACATAATCCCTCAGCCACTGGATCTCGCTAGCCCCGTGAAGATACAGACCCCGACTGTACCTGGCATCCCAGGGCCAATGTCCACTGGCCACGTGTCTGCGATTGATCAGCCGCTGGATCTGGCGAGCCCGGCGAAGGACTCGAAGCTTGGCTTCAAAACACCAGCGAGCAACGAGGTTCTGAAGATGGGGCTGACGAGTCCTAAAGTTCCTAGCGTTAAGAGTAACGAGACAAGTTCCACGGACAAGTATCGAAGAGCATCGACAGGGGAGATGACCAAAGCGGAACTGGATCGTCATATCAAGAACAGCGTGGCAGTTAAGTACAAGAGTATGGAGAGCCCGAAGGAGAGGAGGGACTTCTTGTACGACAGAAGTCCCAAGGTGGAGAGAAGTTTCGGTTACTCGAACGGAGTCGACTCGAATTCTTACAGCAAGCTGAGATACTCGCCGAAGGAGTCTTCTTCCGAGAGCCGAAAGAGGCTGTCCACGTGGAGTGTGAACGAGTTGGAAGGCGGTAGAACCTCGGTGGTTCCCCTGGGCCACAACTCCGTGCCAAAGTACGATTCGCCGCCGCCGCCGCCGTTGGAAAACGGACGTCTGAAGGGGCTGACGAGCCTCGGTGAAACCAGGAAACCGACCGAGTATTACGGCACGTTGAACGGCGCGAAGACGAAAACAGACTCCGTGGCATCGGTGGTGATCGTCAACGTGGACAGCACGTCGAAAACAGAAGTGCCAAACAAACCTTCCGTAGAGTTAACGAAGACGGACAAGTCAGGTGAAACGAAATCACCCACCAAGGGTGGGGAGAACGCGAACGTGGAGGAGGAGACCAGCTCGAACAAATTCCTGAGGCCAACCTCGTTGCCGTTGAAACCGGGCACGTTCACGCCGAAGAAGCACCACGGTATCACGCCAACGGCGAACACACTTCCGCTGATCAGCCCGGAAACCCCGAGGCCGAAGAAATCGTACGGACAGCTTTATCTGAACGGTCACGCGTATACATATCTTGGCCTGAAGTGCTCGACCAGGGTGTTTTATTGTACTTTGAACAGGCCGCAGCCGATGTACGTGACGCAGCAACACGGCTTGTCTATGTACTCGAATTGGGAGATATGCAAGGAAGCACCGCCTGACGTTGACATGGCGCATTATGACTCGAGGCACCGGCCGCTTAATTACACGACCGCGTGGAAGAAGCAGGAGGATATCCTGACGCATTCCTCCGAGAGGCCGACCACGCCCAGCAGTTCTGACAGCGATTTGGAGAGCGACACGCCGGAAAAGGGAAAGAGGGGCAAGGTGTTCGATGGGGGATTTGAAAGTGGCGAGGATTATACGTATGTTAAGGGTAAAGGTGAGATTAGATGCGTTTGTAACGTCTGTCAAACTATGTAACAATGTAACAATGTTCGAATAACATCTACAAGGGGTGGGAATAGATAAAGTGTTACAATGTACATGATGGGAAAACAAAGAACGTTTGGCCATCAGTATTTTCAAGAATGTTGTTGGCAGTATAGGAAGATATAATAAATGACTGTATAAAGAAATTAATAGAACTATAACTTTATTATCGACATAGATTAAAAATCAATCAGACAAGTTAGATTAGAACAATAGTTATTGAAATAATTGAAAATTTATATTAAAAGAAATTGGAATTCATACCCCATCCATCTTTGCAAAACTCACCCTTTTAAACTATTTATAAATAATATTTACAATCTTGTAACACTTTATCTCCTCCATTTTGTATAATAACTGACGAAAGTATTCGTAGGTTTACTATAGAAAATCATGATGGGTGACTCAAATATCTTGATTGCTGTTGTACATGTATGTAAACTCGCTTGATATCAAAGGATATATAATGTCATGTAGGATGTCAATAGTTTTAAAAAGTTAAGAGAAATATAAAAGTGAATTTTTTTAATAGAGTTAAATAATTTTTAATGCATTTCTTATAAAAAAAAAAATTAGACCAAGATATTTAAATGTTTTACACATTTTGTATATCACATGTCTCATAAAAATAATAAATACGTACTTTCAAGCATTTAGAGCAAAAGTATATACATGTACGTATATTAACAGTTTGGCTATTTTTTTTGGCAACAATCTAATATACATAATATATACTACATAATATATATTACCACGTTCAAAGATCAACGATTAGTATTTGCATTTCTATTGTGCGCGTTATTTATTTATTTTATAATTAATATATTTTTATAAATGATCAATTATTTTATATATGATTACCACATTATTTGATGATTCAATGAGTTTCAATGTATTTTTTTTTTTTATTATATAAGGTCGAGCTCGATATGTTTGCGAGGAATGCGGCATCCGTTGTAAAAAGCCATCCATGTTAAAGAAACATATCAGAACACATGCGGAAGCAAGATCATACACGAGTAAACATTGCGCTTATAGGTAAGTAATTTCTCCTTCATTTAGTATATTTCATTTAATATATTACCAATTATTATTATTTGTCCATATTACAATTATAATTCAGTTAAATTACAAATTAAATTGATATTGATATGGAAAATTTTAAAAATAACTATTACTTAGTTGATTTGATACGGTAATGCTTTATTTTGTACCTGATAATTAAACCATGAATATTGAAAAATATTTTTTCTTTTTAACTATTTAACTATTTAGAATATTAGCTTTATATATTAATAATTCAAGGAAAAATATTTATATTTTGATATATTAATAATTCATTAGCTTTATATATTAATAATTCAAGGAAAAATATTTACAAATATCTAATTTAATTGTAATTAAATTAGAAATGTATTTACAAATATATTTAATTATAATTATATTTTTTACCGACATGAAGTATTTATTTTATAGTTTAACACGTTGACTGGGTATTTCAAGTATTTTAGATAAGTCAAATAAAATGACTATCGCCAACTAAAAAATTTTGAATATTATAGCTAAATAGACAATGTTATGAAACAAAAAATGCACCATTCAACTAATTAAACAATTTAATTAAAGCTAATTAAATTAAAGATTTTAATGAATGAAGTAAACAATAAAAAATTTTGATTCAACTAATTAAAGATTTTAATTAAAGCATTATGTATTGTATGTTGCAAAAATTAAGTACTGTGTGTTGTATTAAAAAATTTTGTGGCCCCTTGAGAGCCAAAGAGATCATGTAAATCTGGCGTGGCGGTTAACGTGTTTTAATTTACAACTAGTCATCATCTGTTTGAGGATTAATGTTTAAATCATAAAATTTTCATTTTCAGCGTCCCGGTTTTACCCCAGTCTCCCCTACCGTCCTCGAACAGCGTGGAAGTGAGGCAAAATAACGTGGAGATCAGGCAAAGCAACGTGGACAATAGGCCACCAAGCAGGGATATGAGTTTATTGTCGGAGTACAGGCAACACCATGCACAATCTCATGAGCCGAGAGCCAATCTCGAAGCAATGTCGTTAACAATACACGAGCCGACGAAGATTCACGAGGTCTCCAGATCACAAAGCGGAGAAGTAAGGAACGCAGACCGTGTCGACATAAAGCACACAGAAATGACGAAGCAAAGTATAGCAGAAACCATTAAGCACACGGTTGCTCGGAAGATGGTCGTCGGTGGACCTGGCTTTCGATCACCCTCGCCTAACGCTGCAATCAGTAAACCACAAGCTGAGTTCTTGCAGCCCTCGAATGGACCTGCACCTAATTACGTCAGGTGAGTGATATTTAATCAAGTGATAGCAACATTTCTAACAAGATTTTATATTTGAACCTTACTCGTATCATAGGATGCTACATAGATGTAAGATCTCGCAATTATTAAATTGTATATCATTATCAGTATTATATGTTGAGAATGATAATACTTGTGACACGTATGATAAACGCAGCAACTGATATGCATAACTGAACTGTGGATTTTTATCCATTTTTATGAACATAACTGAAAAAGTAGGATCTGAAGTTATATCTATCTTCTTTTGTATGTTAGATGCATTGTGTATATCCTTATACTTTCCAATTTTCCATCAATCTATTCACAATTGTATCATTTAATAGCAGCAATGGAGCAAGAACGAATGTTTTACAAAAGTGTTTATTAGACTGTAATTGAAAAGATAGAATCAGGATTGAAAATTCTTTTATGTACCAAATGTTATAAAAGGTACTAGTAGTTTTGAATATTTATATACTTTTTTATATTACATACACCTTTTTTTGCAGTTTATTCTCTTAAAAACGATTAGAAAAATTTACAAAGCATGACTATCTATATGTATGGGCTCACGTTAAAAATTTAATGTGCTAATTAAAAAGAAAAATGTAGAATATCAAGGACAAACATCTTTCTTTTTACTTTCACCATTTTTGAGTGAAAATTTTAAACTCTGATTGATAATCCTCTACTAGCATCAATATTGAAGCAGTTTTCATTGCAAGAACTGAATCTACCAAATATAGTTACAGTGTGACTGAAGATGGGAAGAGTGTCTGTGGTATTTGTAACAAGGTGTTCAGCAAACCTAGTCAGTTACGGTTGCATATCAACATTCATTACTTTGAGAGACCATTTAGATGCGAAAGTTGCGCGGTTTCTTTCCGAACCAAGGGTCATTTAACAAAGCACGAAAGATCTGTTTCTCATCACAACAAGGTAATCAACTTTTATTAAACTGTTGTATTAAATATTGCATTTTTCAAATTTGATATTCTAAACTAACTTTAAAGTATTCAATGAAAGAAGAATCTGGTATAAAAAGAAAAAAGTTATATTTCCAGTTATTTAGAAAAAGAAATGTCTGTTAACCTCAATGTTTTTGAGACAGTTAAAAGTAATTAAAAACATATGTATAAAGTAAAGTAAAAGAAATTGTATTCGACCGAAATGAATGTTAATTTAAGCAGAATGAAATTTTTCTAATTTCAAGGTCAGCCAAATCATTGTAGAAGTTTATTTGATTGCCTAATTGTACTATTGCAGGTTAGTATGACTTCTACGTTCGGAGCGGCGACCACCAGCAACCCAAGGCCATTCAAATGTACAGACTGTAAAATAGCGTTCAGGATACACGGTCACCTGGCGAAGCATCTACGTAGCAAGATGCACATTATGAAGTTAGAATGTTTAGGAAAATTGCCATTTGGGACATACGCTGAAATGGAAAGATCTGGTGTCAATTTAAATGATATTGATACTACCGACTGTGATAATAGTCTTTCTAGTCTTCAGGTGAGTGGCATGTTCGAAATTTCTCCAAGGAATTTTCATCATTAGTACTTTATTAAATCTCTTGACCTTTGTTTTGAATAACAGGCATAGATATTTTTGACCATTTACATTAAACAAAAAAGGATTAAACAATAAAATATTACATTATTACAAAATTATTCTGCACCTGTCATCCCAATTATTTTACACTATACTAATACATTTTTTTTTATAGAATGAATAGTAATAGAATGATCAGTACC